TAACGTTAATTTGGCTTGTAAATTGACATTATTTAGCTCTGTTTCGCTCAATTTTCAACGAAAAACTCTTTTTTCTTTAGTAAAACATTGTTAAAACAAGCCAAAAATCACCAAATCGAGAGAAACATTTCCTRAAAAAAGAGCCAAAATATCAAAATCTGCGTAATTTTGTATTTTCGTAAGTGAAAAGCGATAATAAAAAAATTAATTTCAAAGAACAAAAATCGAGAAATAGTTTTTAAAATGCTTTATTTTCACAATTCGAGGTAAATAACAATTCTTTCTAGAGATTAATTAAAACGTGCATAATTAAGACGCCATGAATGCCTCTTTGGTCAAACCAACCTGAAACAAAACTGTTATTAAAATCAACATTTGCAAGAAAATATCACACCGATTCGGCTTCTTTTTTAACACATGCAGCCATCGAAGCAGCACTTTCGCAATGATCATCTGACATTTGCTCTAAAACCACAAAAAAAATCAACAAAAAAACACAAAAACACAAAACATACTCTTCGCATCGCAAGCATCGATAACTTTCATAATTTATTTTAGACTATTTTGAAGAATATAGCTCGTTTTTGAGCAAGAAACTCATTCATTTTCCAAAATTTTGTCAAAACAACTCAAAAAAAACACATTTTATTAATTGACGTTAATTATTTCCTCTGTTACGAAAAATTTAGCTCATTTGGGCTTTAACAAATTACATCAAAATGACCAGAATTTTCTCCTGTTTTGTTAAACTTTTTAGCAAATTTTTGTTTTTAAAATTAGCAAATTAAATAATTGGCGGTATTTTGACCTATCTCAAGATATTTAGTTTACAATTTCTTGGTTTCTTTCGTTTGAGTSAGTTAATTTTTGACCAAAAACTCACTTTTTTGCAAAATTTCGCCAAAATAAGGCTATAAATAATTAAAGTAGATCAAAAATAACGTTATCTGAGACTGTTTTGAAAAAAATAGCTCGGTTTTTAACGAGAAATTTATTTTTTTTTAGTAAAATCTCTTCAAAAAACGCTAAAAAAGTACAAAAAAGCCAAAAAAATGGCAAAGTAGACCAAAACTAACATTATTTTATACTCTTCTGAAAGATATAGTTCGTTTATAAAAAATAAACTTATTTATTTCTCAAGATTTCCTCAAGAAAGCAGAAAATTTAACAAATTTKATGAAAATTGACACAATAATTTTCCCTTGTTTTGCTCAATTAGTAAAAAATTCACTTATTCCGTTAAAAAATCTTAACATTGACAAATTGAATCATAATTAACGTTATGTTGACCTTTTTCGAGATAATTAGACGAGAAACTTACTTATATTTCGCAAAATTTTGTCACAAAACCCAAAAAACAATAATTTTTTGGATGAAAATTGTCGATAATTTGTCCTGTTTCAAAAAAATTAATTTATTTTTGAGCGAGAAACA